AAGTCTGATACCATCTGAGAGACCTACAAATGGAAGCTTCAGTTGGCCTGGTTAATATCCATCACTACTGTGCACGGAATAGGCGGATCCTCTTAGAAATACATCACTTATGTCCATTCAATATGTATCTCTCAGTTTTTCAAAAATCGAAACATTAGAAGCACTGGGTACCTAGTTTAGTAGGCACTGGGAGGTCGAAGATGAGTTGCTTAATAAGCGGGGCGGAGTGGAGAAGATATCAAGAAAGGGCTCAAAAACTGACAGAATAAGGCTCTTGTTTGGTATCAGCTTTGTGAGTTACAAACGGAGCTCCAAGATAGCTGAAATATTCAACGTGAACGACGTGGTCTGCATTTTTGTTACAGGGCTGAATCGAGACGAGCAAAGACTAACTGCTGAGAGATTCGTTCAGAGGGTCTCACATGGCTCATAAAGGGTGGCCCTCTACATAACCCTTATTGAATAGCAGCTCATCCTACCCATTCTTCGGTGTACAGGGATAATAAACAATTTTTCACTTGCGCTTCCCCGCTATTTAGGCCTACTTATAGTCCTAGGTAGCAAGGTTCTCATCCAGGCTCATTCCTTACTCAAAGCCAGTATCCGAAAACGTAGACGCGTTTCCATTCGGGACCAGTTGTCATCAAAATACGATAGTAAATCTACTGCTAACGCAGCTTTGCTGACGACGAAGCTCTGCCGTCACCATGTGATTTGTCGTTATCAGCACACTATTTCAGAAGTTTTCCGATCACTGCATTCTTGTTGACCGAGTATTTATATGTGATAAAGAAGAGATTACATATGGCTTTTTGACAAAAAAGAAGTCTAACTGACAAAGTAGCTAGAATCAGTCTTTTCTAGTGTGAGCCATACATTCTTCTTCCTTTCAGGATCCAGAAATATTTATGTGTTAATTATTGTTCTATTCAGTGGCTTTAGAGAGATAAGCAAAGGGTCAGTCAGCGTTTATCGTTCTGAACAAAAATGGCTTCAGAGAGATTACCCTGGGGGAGGAGGCGATCTACGAAGGTGAGATGCATCACTTCAAACCTACTGCGCCACCTGCCTCTATGTGAGTTTTAAAAAAGCCATTAAAGGCAAAGTTTGGGCTCAGACCCACCTAATAGGCCATTAAAGTGGCTAGAAATGCATGGACCTCAGCTGCAGCGACTCACAAGTATTTCCACCATGCAAATGCCGTCAGCTAGTGGCCAAGGACTTTGACACGCTCCTCCTGTTGCGACACGCTCCGCCCACCGCTCGATATTTTGTCTGCGTCGCAATGCTGATCTGCTATCTCTCTTCTCGGATTTCTCTACCGCTCTCCGCGCTCACATTATCTCTCATCTCCCTGCCGGCCTTTTGAACTTCTCCGCAACGTAGAGCAAAAGGCTCGTATTTCCTGTGTATTTCAGGATTTTCCTTCCTTTTTTCTCCACGCTGGCAGTCATCCCTCCTCCCGTTGCATCACATTTGAGTATAATTACTTCATCAGTTTAAGCTTGAATCTTGCCTTTAAGCTCTGCGGGGCAAAAAGGCTGGAGAATTACAAATATGACCAGGATAGCAAGGCCTGACTAATTAAAATAGCACTTAGTCCTTCGTATCAACATTAGTCCTTTTAGGAACCTAACGAAATCAAGAAGTGGGAGCGGGTACCTTGCGCATTCATTATACAACGATTTCCATTTTGGTGTCTACCGATTTTTGCAAGAAAAAGTTCGCAACAACATCGCGCGTATTTTGGTAATAATAACATTTCAATGTTAATCTTTTGAAAATTTTTTAAAGGCAAAAGTCGGGCTCAATAAGGGGGTATTATGGCGATTGAAACTGAGTATAGAGATGCGAAGTAGAACGACAGTGGAGAAAAAACTGAGAAAAACCGTCGACAAGGCCGTTAACAAAACCCTCTTTTCCCCACTAGCAGTGAAGGAGGCTGGCTTGGGAAAGAGGCACGTACAACATCACGCGATTTCTGGAGATGTCAGTCGTTCTATCGGTTGATACGGCAATCAACCTAGCTTGTTTCACACGTTATGCCAGCCACGCACCACTTCCGGAGGTGGGCGGTCCCGGATTGACGAGGCGGTCCCGGATTGAAACCGACGGCCCCGGGGGCTTAACGACGTTTTTCAAGGTGGGAAGTTGCTGCAATGTGTGCAGCTACCCACATACAACCTCCAGGCACGGGAATTACTTCTCTAGCGCCTGAGCCCGACCTTTGCCTTTAAAGCATCAAACACCAACAACAAAAAGTAAACTAATACTTAAGGGCTCTATTCCAGTTGGAGGGGATCATGGTGCAGTTTTTCCAGAAAACTACGGTAACTCCTTGCCAGAGGGAGTGTAGGCAGTCCAGAGAGGTGGGGGAGGGGTAGAGCGATTTGTGTCATGCGAGTCTTTGAGCATGGCGAAAAGCTGGAATGCTTAAGTTTACATCTAGTTTGCCCGAGAAAAATGCATCAATCATGCCTCCTCTTAACAGAAATAGACCCCTACTCAAGTTCTTCTCAATTTCTACCTAGTTTTTATGGTTAGTTTTTATTCAGAAGAAGATGTAAGATGGTAAGCAGTTACACAGACCTCTATCATCTCTCTGATGCATAAGTTTAAGCGTAATCTGGAGTTTGCGAGGGAACAAGTGACGAATTAAGTGATCTTATAAGACCTTCCTCCCCCCGATTCCATTTTCTCTCTGATTTGTGTTTTCAGATCCTTCACTTGTTCGTGATTGGGCCATACAAAAGCCGACCGACCGTGTTATTTGCTTTTGACGCAGTCAGGGAAATGCGCAATCAACGCAGATAAAAACTACCACACGCAGAGTTTTTTTTTGGATAAAAAAGTGCCATCGGTTTATGAAGCTTGAGGAAAACTCAAGTCAGATTACCTAAGGATAATATTGGCTGCATATTTCCTTCTTGAGGGCGTGAACCACCATGTCAACCCCACAATCCAAGCCGTTTAATCGATAGCCACCTTCAGATTTTGCCTCTTATGATTAGTCCTCAGAAAAGCCTACAAGGTATACTTGAATTTTTGAAGACACCAGTGACGAATAGCCCATGCGCCGCCTTAGGTAGGACTGGCTGAAGTGCCAAAGCGGACGACTCAGGTTTCGTCGTCAAATAGCTGTAGATGGCTGCAATTGCACAATTATTTTAATAAGGTATCTCTTATTCAAAAGATTGTGAAGATTTGTTCAGGGCCTTCATCCTCCCCCTGGTCCTTATTGGATCTTATAGGGTATTGCCCTCCCATGAATTTCTGCTGATATGTTAGGTTTTGCGCCATGCACGCGGTCACTTATCTGTTTCTTTCTTTCCTTTCTTAGTAAACTCCCTTCTAAATTAGTTTCTTTAAATGATGTTTGTTCAGAGTCTTTCTTGTCGGTTATGCCTCCAAAGAAAGCGCCTCCTAAGAAAGGAGGGGAAAAGGAGGAGGCACCGAAAAAAGAAGCTAAAGGAGGCACAGCAGTGAAAGTTCGACATATTCTATGCGAAAAGCAGGTTGGGGACTATTCCTTCGTTGCGATCCAGAAACTTCTTCTATCTTTAGTTATTTGTTTCGCACCAGTATTTGATGAAATTCAGAGCAAAGCTTTGGAAGCCATAGAGAAGTTGAAATCTGGCATGAAATTCCATGAAGTCGCTGCTCAGTACAGTGAGGACAAGGCACGATCTGGTGTGAGTGGAAAAGGGTGTTCAAGTTGCTTCTGTTCTCATTTTTTGCTGCAATATTTTGAGACTTGCTGGGACTCTTTCAGGGCGATCTTGGCTGGATGACTCGTGGTTCTATGGTGGGCCCGTTTCAAGACGCCGCTTTCGATCTACCGAAGAGCACCTGTGACAAGCCCATCTACACCGACCCACCTATTAAAACTAAGTTTGGTTATCACGTGATAATGGTTGAGGGGAAGAAATGATTTTTTTGTCTTCTGTTGCGTTCTATCTTTACTATAATCTGAATGCTTTCTGTAAATATTACATTTATTAATGAGAGTGGCTCTCCTGCCATTAATATGTGTCTGTTTTGTTGGTGTTTCACATTTGCAAATAAATTTTATATGCGGGATCATGTGCCACAAAAAAGATTTGAGACACACTACACGCCCGCCTTTACAAGCGGATGCTTGCTTATACCTATTGGCAATCTGCCAGCTCTGTTCAATTTTCGAATTGAAGCACCTTGGCTCGTTTTTTGTGTTTTTCAGTATGCTTCGCATTCCTACTATTCCACCCTTTACTGTCATTCATAGCTCGAAGGGATTGCTACCAATTGTACCTGAAAGTACTTTCCGAATGGATTTTAAATCTCGAATCGATCGCCTTGTTGGTGGTTTTATGTGGAAAATAAGTCCATCATCACTTGTATATTCATTTTTCGAGTTTTTCATCTGATAAGAAGCTTTCTATTTTTCTACGATTTTCACGTGTCCCCATGTTCTCATTGTTTAAAGTTTCGTAAGCTTATTTCAAGCGTTCTTCATTCTATTTCACAGGTCTCTCTTCATTAGCAAAACACGACTATCATTGCTTGTCATTTTTGTGTCGAACAACTCAATCTGTAATCTTAAGGTAATGGTGGACCAGTCCGAAGAGAAGATGGACGTAAACGGCTCCGACCCTCAGCCTGCACCAAAAATGAAAATCTCTTTTGGTGTGAAAAGAAAGTCACCAGCAAAACTCCAAGGCAATACGCCGGCTATTATTGATGGTTAGTGCTTGAATGCCTTTGTCACACTGTCTCTTTTTTGTTTTTTTCTTTCTTTATTTTATATCAGTTTTTTCACGTTATTCGATTTTGTCATTTTCTTTCCTCTGTGGCTATACGAAGAGCCTGCTGAAATGGTGTAGGTTTATGGCTCAAATAGTGGAGATTTTGTAAAGGTCTCATAGGAGAATCTCCTAAAGTGCTGGAGTTGCGCTAGAGTTATTGAAGTTCTAAGCGCAGGAAGTGTTCTCATAAGAACTTCAATTATAATAATTAGTGGATACAATGATTGTACCCATATATCAACGCACTGAGGTTTCGGACAAGAATTTTCCAGCGGTGGGCTGAGTACTACATTCAGAGACAATTTGTAGCCTTAAAATAGGTGACAGACTCAAAAAAAGTGGGCTTCAAATATTACAAGCCCTAATAGGTTGCTCTTCAAGCAAGCGGTTCAAGCAAGACATGAAGCTTACATGTCATGATTATGCTGAGGTGTTAATAAAGGATTTCACCGCAAAAATATAATGGTTCCACAGGCATTTTTCAAAATTTCGTCGTTTCCCTCACTATTAAGCTGCACCTCGACTGTTGGTCAGGTGTATCACAACTGTGCGTTGAAATTTACTTCATGCTAACAGTTGATAAAAGCCCTGCCCCGCGCATTTCCACTGTACTTACATCTACCACTAAAATGGGCATAGAAATTCATTTATCGGAAATACTACATAAAAGAATAATATCTCCTAACGATAAGAACGATCTGGTGGCTTTGTATATTCGACTAGCGATTATTCGATGAACGTATTTTTGAATAGTTTGAGCTTGTTGAGATTTCTTATTGACTCCTGTTGAATTTTTTATGTTGTGGGATATAATACTCTCCTCTGGAACGATTTAAGGATCCATTTTTGAATCTGATCAGCTAGTGTAGCTTCTTCCTTCGTTCTTCAGAAGTGTATTTCAGTCTATGGCATACATGACTCATCCTCATTGTTTTTTATTAGTATTTTTTACCGCGTTGTATGCTCTAGGTCTAATTTTTTAGTGAGTGTCGACAGCGACGAAGAAAGAGAAGCACGATGAAGAAGCGAAGAGGAATAAGAAACGAAAGCTCACTCATTTTGAAGATGGAGATGCCCCGTGAGACGCTCTCTTCTTGAGTTTCTTTTGTAGTAATATATTAGATGTGCCATGTAGTTATTCTAAGTCTTGTTTTATTCCGAATCAATAGGTCATTTAAGGGATGATGAGGATAGCAAGAAAAAAGCAGCTGTTGTGATTCCCTTGGTCCAAGAACGGGACTGGCGTGTAGCTAAGCTCATAGCACTACAGAAGGAAGGCAAACTTTACTGATGAGGATCGAGCAAAGCTTGCCATTCTTACTGAAGAGCAGCCATTTGAGGGATCAAACGTAAGCGCTGTGCACTTTCTTGGGTCGCTTGCTATTTTTTCCTATATCTCTACTTTTATTGATTTCAGGGTACTGCTTCCACAGATGCGATAGTCGTAGAAGAGGAGGCTAAGATTGTTGAAGACGCCGATTATGGAGCGGTGAGTATAATATAAATTTGAATTCAAGTTGCATCGCGGTCGGAAGGTCTTGAGTTTTCTCGATTACTTCCGTCTGCGGCTTCAGGCAGATAGAGACCACCTGTCTATAGCCTGGTCCTTGGAGTATACCACGTTTGAGTGGGCGCATTGTTTAGAATGCAAATTTCAGGCAACAATCATGTAATTCCTCCCGACGAGAATTGTAAATTGAGAATTGTTTCGTATTCAGCTTTTATTTTTGGTGAAATTTAGACCAATTCGTTCTCATTTTTAGCACTTGAGGTTCCCTGTGGTTCGTTAATAGTAACAAGGACGGTGCTTACCAAATTAAGGTGCTTTCACGTATGCAGTGAAGTATAGACGTTACTACAGGTGTCCGAACCAGCCTATAGAGCTTTGCGCGTCTCTCAATTTCCTGATGTTTTCCCTAATCGCAATATTAGCTTCCCTCTTTACTTTGATGTCTATATGTAGCAACATATCTTTCGTAGTAACCGTAGTATCACTGCAGTATCACCCGGTGTGGTATGACTGCAGTATCGCACGGTGACCCATTTTCCGGCACGATCACTGCCATGCCAAAGATCGAGTGATCGGAAATAGGCTATTGAATGTGCTTCACTTATCATTTCCTCCGGTATGAAAGTTTGAAAGTTGATAACACTTAGTACAGGTGCCGATTGAAGAATATGGACTAGCAATACTGAGAGGGTGTGGATGGAAAGATGGTGAAGGAATTGGGCGGAAGGCCTCAGGTTTGTTTGCAGGATTTGGCTCGCCTTTTCTATCTTATCCTTCATTGTGTGTATTTGCAGGTAGTTCCGCTACGTATACTTCCACGACGGCCGAATGGGCTTGGTCTGGGTGCAACTCCACAACAGAAGGATAAGAAGAAAAGCGCAAAGGTGAGAAAGTTTTTTGAAATCGATTTTTTTTGTCTTTGGCAGACATTTTTTTTAATACTGATTCTTTCAGAATGCTAATGAAGATGAACAAATAGACGAAATCATAAAGAAGGATTCTTTGATACGGGTTATTACCGGTCGATTCAAAGGGCACTACGGCAAGGTCAAATGAATTTTTATTTTTTAGTTTCACTTTTTTTGTTTTATTGCATGTAATAGGTATTTCCAAATCTCACCAGGTTCTCAATCGAAGATCATGCAGCACAGTGCGGCTCAAGGAAGGAGGGAGGGCACTCTCACAGCGGCGCATGGGATGTTCGCGCCCTCCCTGCGAAATAGTGTCATCTCCTTCATCCATTTTGTCACGTATGTCAAGTGACTCTCCTACACCTCCTGGGGCCGGGTGCATCGGGGCATGCTGTCCTGAATTTGTAAATCTCCCCTGACTCAATGATCTCTTGCTCACACTGAGAGGCGCGAACATGCCGCGCGGTGCCACCCCTTCTCCATGGACCAGTTAACCACATGCGCCAAGATAATTTCATATCTCGTTATTTTGGAGAACCTGCAAGCCTTGATCTTCGTGTTTCTGATAATGTAAAGCGTCTTCTTGTTCAGATGTGTGAAGGCTAATTCTTCAGGTAGAGTCTAGAGATGACGACAACAATTGCCTTTTCGTGCGGTTAGCTGTTGGAGGACAACAAGTAAAGGTAGTTGTTTTGCTTTCAGTGTTACTCTCTGCCTAATACTTTTTTGTTATTTTTTGAAAATTGGCATTACGAGAGGAAAGTCAATTTGACGCCATCCTACGTAGCCGCTGCTCGAGCTTTGTAATATGAATCTACTTTTGAAGACGTAGAATCTCTCCGATTCTATTCATTTCTGTTCTCCATGTTTGCAGGTGAGCTTGTTTGCGATAGAACAAGTTTCGAAAAAGGAGTACGATCGCGACAGCAAGTGTATAAGTAAGTCATATTGATTGTGTTTAGATTGCAATTGCTTCAAGTGTTCTACTCTCATTGAAGTTTCGTTCAGATAAGGATGATTATGACAGAGAACGAGACAAAATCGAAAAACGAAATAAAGAAGCCGTCCGCGACAATCGGAAAGGGGATGATCGAAAAGATCGCGAAGAACGCTCTAGGGACAAGTATCGGGAAAAGGATTCTAATCACGATAGGGAAGCTAAAGTAAGTCAATAGACATTAAACTCATGAACTAGAGGCCAACTCTGCAGTCCGTTTTCTTTTCACTTTTTTGGAATTTCACTGGTTACACGCTTAGTTGCCTACAAAAGCTAGTAAAACAGAGGAGGAACTTTTGAATGATGAAAACCTAGAGGTACGCACCACGATGAAATCAAGGGATAAATTTCTTCAGTGTTGAGATACAGTTGTAAAGGAAGGTAGCAGAAGTGCCGTTCTATGCCTATACGCCTCCGCTACGGCCTTATCACGACCATGGTAACTGCCAGGAAACACAACCATTTTCGCTCAAGCTATTTCTGTGCTCTCTCTCAACGATGTACTTTCGTTCTAGGCCGTACCTTCGAAATACGAACCGTACCTTAAACTCTCCACAGCTTGAAGATGGTCCTTACTTCTAGTGATTTCGACTAGCTTTTGTAGGCAACTAAGCGTGTAACCAGTGAAAATTCATGTTTGGTATTTTTCCGTGAAGTGATTTTTCTGCAATTCCATTCTTGTTTTCAGAATGATGAATTATGGGTCCGTACCGATTTGCTGGTTCGGTTTATCGACGAAAATTACAAGAAAGGCAAATATTTCAAAGAAAAGATGCGGGTAGTAGATGTAGCATCACGAAAGGACATTTCGTTAGAAGATTCCCATGGCAAGATGCATTACGGTAGGTTCTGAGAAAGAAGGTGATCTTATACGTTTGACACGATTCCAATCAAATTTTTTAAGGAATCCGGCAGTCATCTCTGGAGACCGTTTTACCACGGCTAGAAAAATCACGTGTAATGATTGTACGAGGTAAACATAAGGGCCTCGCGGCAACTATGGAAGAAAAGGATAAAAGGCGGTGTCTGGTCGTTGCTAGGCTGTTGAGGTCCAACGAGGTGATTTTGTGTATCTTTTTAACGGAGAGTGTTGCTCTGAAGCCATAATCTCATAGAATTAATAGCGTTTTCTATTTGCAGGAATGTGTACTGTGATTTTGAACGACGTTCTGCCGAGCACCAAATGCGAGGGAAGAAGATGACGATACGATTACTGAAATTCGCCTGTACAAAGAAAGAAATGTTTTGGAGTCAGCGAAATTCTCTGGCGAACCTCACACTCACCAGGCGTTTGGGAGTCTCCTACTAACTAGTTCATGAATTGATCTTGATCTGATGTGATGTGTCTACAATAAAATTCTGAAAAAATTGCTTTCTCTTGCTCGAAGTCGCGTCGAAAGAGTTCAAGGTGATGAACACTGAAATTGGATGCAATGGGTTGCCTGGAGGAAGAGCAGGCGCGTAGTTTTGCGTCCTCTTTTGTGACAATTATCCATCATTCTGTATTGCCTAAGAAGTTTTGCTATACAACTGCCCAAAGTATGAAATGAAAGATGAGGAGTAATTGATGCTTTGGAGATGCGCCATGCATCCGGTTTCCATGCAGTATCGTGGGAGTATTCGAATGCGGCATGGGCTCATATAACGACTTAGGGGGACTTAAGCTTTTGAATATTGTACTCTGGCCATTTGTAAAATCTTCTAATAGCTATGTACGGCTTTGTATAAACTTCGCCATTATAGTTGTAATGAAGGAGTTGAGACCTTATACATATAAGTTTGGTCTTCCAGTACTAACTCTCACTTGAAAAGAGCCCGGACTTGCAACTCGTGTTACTGATGGCTTATGGCTGGTCCAGAGATCTGGACTGGTCCATCTTGTAGCTGCCTGATGTCCTGTTTGATCTTGAACTTCTGTGGGATAGCGACGATATAAAATGAGTCATTTGTCAGGCATCTGACGCTCGATCCCACTGAAAGATTGACCGATAACGTATTCCACAACAACCTCGTGTTGAGATCAATAGAAGAAAGAAAGATCTACTGATAGTCAGTCAGGAGCAAAAGATGCTCTGAGAGTGTGGGGTGGGGCGGGGGGGGAAGGGTTGAACAACGCTTAGTGTTAGGCCAGGTAGGCGTAGTGAACGTCAAACACGGACTTATTAATAGAAACCGATCGTGGAGGCGTCGGCAGTGCACGACTCCGGTTTGTGTGGGCGGACGGGGGAGGGAGCCATTGGTGTCGCCGGCGATGCGCACTAAAGCCGGAATCAGGTCAAGAGCCCTCACGGATAGCCATGCATGTATAAATATAAGCGGATTGGGAATGGTCATTCAGGAGTACATTTTTCTGTGGACTGTTGCACAGCTCTCTGACAATAATTCAATTATTTCTAGTTTAAGAGACTTAGTCTGAGAAAGTAATTTCTCCTGTTCGACTGCAAAGTTGTGCCCTCTTGCATCTAAACGTTTTTTGGTGTTCTGTAAGGTTCAAGAGCTCCCTTCGGTTGTATACTGTAGAATTTCAGGACGTGGTTAATCTCTAGGTTGAAAACAAGGTGCCAAATGTGTACAAAATCGCATTTCACGTATCATCACGTCATTCCTTGCGAAATTTGCGAATTTTTTACTCCTGAGGCACAAAACACTTTACGCATCCGTTTCAGAGATTCAAGAAATTAGAAATATCTTAAATTCTTCAATTTCAGCATGTTATCCCTAATTCTCGCTCTGGTTCTTCCTGTTCTGGTCAGCTCAAAACTGATTCAGCTCACTGTTCGTGAAAACTTCACACAACCCTGTCCGAATGGTTAGTTTACAGCATATCATCAGTTTATAGCATAGCTTCGCTCCACATCACGCCGTTTTAAGACCACTGAAATAGGAGACCGTTAGGGTTTCAAGGCCTACAGAAACCATGATTTTTGATGTACGCATCCTCGGATTTTGGACA